GTGTGCACATTAAAGTATTTAAGAGTGTGGATGTTAAGTATGGTGAAAGCTCATATGTTGTAAGAGTATCTGAGCGAATGGTTTTAGAATGAACGTTAGCTAGCCAAACTTCCAAACGTTGACCCGAAAAGAACGGGGATATAAAATATCTAGCGGAAGTAAAACGTGGGTCAGTTTTTTTTAAAAGTCGAATAAGTATATCGTGTTCTTATTAACAAAGAAATTATTAATTATTACCAAAAATTAAACAAAAGTTATTAACAAAGATTATTAACAAAAATTATTAACAAAAAAAATTAAACAAAAGGTATAAACAAAAATTATTAAAAAAAATTATTAACCAAAAACTATTAACAAAAATATGAAAAAAACAAAAGTCAAGTTTATCAGTGAAACAAAGAAAAATTAAAAGAATAATGTACGCTACATACAATTTTATTTAATTTGTGTAGAAATTTCTAAACTGATCTTGTTAATTTAAATGTTTTTAAAATAGCAAAAATAAAAAACTAAAATCCAAATTTATCAGTGAATGTTTATAAATTAGATGGTTGTGAATTAACAAAATCACTTATTCACTGGCATGAGCAAGACAGCAAAAAACAACCTACTGAAGGGCAAAAACAACTTATTGAAGAAAAGATTTTTTTTGGTGAGGAATTAGTTGCTCTAAGTGATCTCATTTTACATCGTTTTTGGGTGATACAGCACTTGATTTACAGCAATTGATTATCCAGAATTTATAAAAGCTCCACAAAAAGCAGCATCAAAACAGCAACATCAACAACAGCTAAGTGGCGAACAAATAAAAAAATTAATTATCTCATATAAATAATATATATATATCATTTATAAAGTTTTTTGAACTATTTTTTTTATTATTGTTCACACATTTTATTATTATTATTGTAAAATATTATTATTATTATTATTGTAAAATATTATTATTATTGCTATTGTTATTATTGTACAATATTTGTAAAATTTAAACATATATGCTGATGTTAGCAATATCCAAACTTTGACTTTCCTTTGCATTATTTAATTTGGTAAAATGCAGTGGCACTGAACTTGAATATTTGCATTATATTTTTTATTAAGTGCAGTGGCACTGAACTTTGAATATGTAACATATATCAAGGCCAGTGCATTGGCGTTAATTCTTGGTTGCTAGACACAACAAAGAATTTGGTTGCATAATATATGCTGAGCTTGCACTTTAGGCAAGAAGACGGTAAAGGAAAAGAATAAAATTTAGATATTGTTATTGTAATAATTTGTAATAATTTAGTATTTAAGGAAAAATTTAATTTAATAAAAATCAGATTGAAACCAATATTCGATCTCTCACTTTCATTTCCAGAGTTTCAGTTCAAGTGCTGAA